GAGCAAGATCTTTTGCAGTGACTACAGCTGGATCTTTGAACAACTGCTTAGAGCAAGAAGGACCTGTTAAAGAGTAAAATATAATATAGGAGAAATAAACTCCGACCAAAAATTCCCCTGCCTTGGGGCTCTTGGTTGAGTAAAGGCTAGAGATGGTGTCTCGATAAAAACACTCATCTTGGGCAGATGTTAACTGCATCCAGCTAAACATCCCCTGCCTTGGGGCTCTTGGTTGAGTAAAGGCTAGAGATGGTGTCTCGATAAAAATACTCATCTTGGGCAGATGTTAACTGCATCCTGCTACTGTCTTGTAGAAGGCCTCCTAGGCAAAGACTTTAGGGGTAAGCAGAAAAATTCTGCTAACCAGCCTCGAACCCCTTCTTCATCTATTAGGCTGGCGTAGATGTAACCTGTGTTACATTGTTTCCTGCCTAGGATGATGAATGCTGGATCTCCTTGACTCTACTCATAGAGTTTTGCTTATGCCTCCTTGATAATGGCTATGCAACTCTTCCTGTTATCTCCATATGAGGGTACAGCTCTAAAACTCAGTTTAATGGTTCTGAGGCCGGCTGGTAGTAAGGTTTTCCGAACTCTGTGGTAGCTCTCAGAGAGGCTGATTCCATCAACAGCTTTTAGATGTTATCTCTGATCAAATTGACCATGCCCTCTCTCTTTACCCCTCTGCCAATATTGTTGTTGTTGGTGATTTTAATGCCCATCACACTGAATGGCTTGGCTCTAACACCACTGATCCTGCTGGCACTAAAGCCTTTAACTTCTGCGTTTCTCAATCTCTTACTCAGATCCTAGCTTATGTTCTGTTTCTCCCTTTTCTCCCTTAGGTGGTTCTGACCATGCAATGATCTCTATAAATCTTTCTTCTCGTACTTCTTTTTTGGGCTCACCTTATCATCGCACCACCTACTACTACCCTAAAGCTGACTGGGATTCCTTTCGTGATTTTCTTCGTGATGGTCCTTGGGCTCATGTTTTTTCTCTCCCAGCTGACAAATGCGCCTCCTACGTTACCTCCTGGAAATTAAAAAAAGGAAAAAAAAATTGATGAAAAACTTATGATAAAATATATCCTTCTGACACTGTTCCACCTAGATTATATGGATGCATTAAAGCACATAAAAGTGATAAAGGTCACCCTATGCGAACTATAGTTTTAACTATTGGTAAACCAGCTCATAAACTTTTGCAACATCTTTTTGAAATAATACAACCTACATTTACTACAAAAAAATTCTTTTTCATTCATATCTGAGGCTAAAGAATGGTTTATAGATAAAAATGAAATTCAAGTTTCGTTTGATATTATTAATTTATATCCATTGATTCCACTAGATAAAGCAACAATTGCTATAATTGATATTCTAAGCAAAGATAAAGATAATCTTAAGATGTTAACTAAATTGTCATTAGTAGATATTCACAAGCTTATTGAACTTGGTGTAAATAAATGTTATTTTTTATGGGACAAAATACATATCTTAAAAAATTCTTGTCTGATTGGTTAGTCCATTATGGTTATTATCAACAAATCACGACAATGGTAACTTAGTGATGACACGCCATTGGAGACCACTTTTTGTTAAAATTAAGTCTAAATCTGCAACATTGCAATGACATTATTTTTGATTTTAGTTTTTATGAATTTTGTATAACAGTTTTTTCAGTTTGATAATGGTTTATACTATATAAGCCAAAATATCACCATATAATAATAAAGATAATATATAACCAAACATGATGTTTTTAATCAATTGAATATAAAATATATTATTAACGATTTCACTTAAACAATATATATATATATATATATATATATATATATATATATATATATATATATATATATATATATATATATATATATATATATATATATATATATATATACATATATATATATATATATATATATATATATGTATATATATATATATATATATATATATATATATATACATATATATATATATATTATATATATATATATATATATATATATATATATATATATATATATATATATATATATATATATATATATATATATATATATATATATATATATATATATATATATATATATATATATATATATATATATATATATATATATATATATATATATATGAATCTTTGCCAATATGTTTACCAAATGAAGTTTGTGATTATCAATTGCTTGATACATATATACTACAAGATGGCTGTACCTATATTGAGTCTAAATACATGGTTACCATCATGATTTTTTTATTTTATTTTATTCTGATTCACTCCTAACAAGGCTTCAAGCAACCACTAATAAGTTGGGAGTTACTAGAAAAAAAGAATATAGTTATAGAGCAAGGAGACGGTTAACAGAAGAGTTAAAAAGATGTAGTTTGTATGAGTCAGGAAAACATTAAGATGAGAGAGAGCTCCAAAGGTTTGAAAAAAGATAGATAGTTTTAAGGGTTGAAAGAGCTCTAAAGTGTGTGGAAAAAAACTAGACGAATATAAGTTTTTGGAGCATGCAGGGACAAATACAGTAAAATGAATGAGACTTTTTTAAATGAAGAGTCAAGCAAGAATGAGTTTTAGTACATGGAACTAGAGATAAAAGCTTTATAGAGCAGTGACCATGATAGTATTTGTAGAAAAGAGAAAGATCTAACTTTAAGATGATGGGAAAGAGACTTGAGCTTAGAAGAGCTTATTATATTTACAATGTATTTTTGGACCTTGTCTAGAAAAGAAAGAGCATCATAAGAAGAACCAGCCCAAGTATGACAACAGTTTTCCATACAGGTGCAAATAAGAGATTAGTAGAGGTGAAGAATGGAATCAGGAGAATATATGAAATGATGAGCACGAAGAAGTGAGATCAGATTCAAGATCGGCTGCCTGTTCTAAGCAATCTAAAACAGAAGACTTTTTGTCAAGACAGAGGTATAAAGTTGAGTCATCAGCAAAAAGAGTTACCTTATATGTAATGTTGCTGGAAAAATTAATAATGTAGATAAAAAACAAAACCTTGAGATACCCCAGAAGTTACTGGAAATGAATAAGAGTGTTGGCTTTTGATGATGAGCTTTATAAACCATTGCAAAGAAACGATTTGATAATCTCAAAAACTCTTCCAGATACACCATATGAATCAAGCTTATGGAGAAGACTAACATGCCAAACTTTGTTGAAAGCCTTAGATAAGTCAAGAGCAATAGCCCTTGCCTCTTAGCCTTTATCTAATGCACAATCTTTCAGTCACAGTAGTTAGTCAGTTAGCAAATCGTGGAGCGAGAGAATCGAAAACTGTATTGATTGTCTGACAGCAAGTCATTTGACTCAAAATGGAATGTGAGATGTTTAAACGAACAGGCTCCTTTCTGTCTACTAACTTGATGAGAGCACAATCATAAGTTCTCATAGCTACATTGAAGATTGTCTTCATATTTATACTTTGAAATTTGAAAAAAAGAAATGTATTTATAAGTTGTATTTGAGTTTCAGGTAATGAAAAAGTTTTAAAAAATTGATTATTTAAGCAATTTGCAATAGATATCTTATCTACTAATTGCACTCCATCGTGCACTCAACATCGTGGTCGAAAAGAGATCGAATTTCACTTTAACAAGCCTTTTTTGGACAAGACTTACAAGCATATGTATATATATATATATATATATATATATATATATATATATATATATATATATATATATATATATATTCATTACATTATTGAATTTTAGATAATTCTTCAAACGAATGCGACTTCAGAAATCTCACGTTTATTCGTACAGCTAATTTCAAGCAAAAACATTTATATATTGGACAGTGGATTTAACACTAGAAAACTTTTTTTATAATTGATGACATATTTTTATAAACATAGATATATTGGATTGTAAAATCAAATTTATTTTTGTTAATTTTTTGAAAATATTTATATCAATTGTTTAAAAAAAGTTTTTTTTTCTTTATTGCCATATATTGAAATATATGTAAAATATTTAGGAAAGTCGTTGTTTGCGTTTTTATTTTGGCCCTAAGTAACTAGCTTAAATATCTTAAATAGTTATAATTAAATATTAAAAATCTATTAAAAAGTTATATATTATATAAATATCAGATAATAAAAAATGTTCAAGAAGTCAAAAAAGTATCCGTGTAACGAAATATTAATACAAAAATATTGAACGGTTCGTTAAAAAACTATAACGGGTTCTTTAAAGAACCTTATTTTAAGTTTCTTTCGAAGAACCTTCGCAAAGGGTTCTTAAAGAACCTCTACCGTTCGGGTTGAGAGTGTAGATACGATATAAATGAAATGATTATTATTAGATTTTAGCAGCCGTGGTGCAGTGGTTAGAGCAACCAAAGGTTGCGGGTTCGTTCCCGCTCGAAGCCGTTTTTTATTTATTTGAAGACATTTGCTAATTTGAAAACATTAAATGTTGTGAAGCGCTTTAAAATTTATTGTTTGTTTACCTGTTTTTTAAGAATCTAAGCCATTCGCGGTAACATGAAGCAGTTTAAAATTAAGCGGCCAAGATTTGGTGGTTTTACCCTAAAAAAGTTTATTTAAAATTAGAGATCGTTATTTTAAGCAGTATATAGTGCATTTTTGGTACTTAAATCATTTTTAAACATTGCTCATTGTTAATTTTGTTTATTGTTAATCTATATTTTTATTAAATAGAACCGTTATTTAAGGTAAATTTAATAACACTTCAATGTCATTTAGAAAACAAAATTGTCGGAAATAGTGCAAAACCGCGTAACTAGCATTGGATAATCTACAATACATTTTTTTTACTGAAGAAGTTTAAAACTTTATATATTTTTTATTTTAACTGATTTTGGGTTCATTTTAGTATAAAATGAACCCAAAAGTATTTATTCGTATTTTTTGTAATCTCAACAATAAATATTTGGTGTTAAAATTAATAATATCTGAATATAGTAGCCAATGCTAGTAACGCGGATTTGCACTATCGCCGACGAAATTTTTACTATTGCTTTTATCTCGCTTGCTTTTTAATCTTTTATCTACCTTGCAATTAAAAATACGCAAATATAAATAATCGTTCCTAATGGGATATGATCTAAACACAACCTAAAAATTCCTAATTATTAAATTTTGAATCATGATAGTAGTATATCTTTATTGTTTATCATTGTACTTCAAAGTATCCATAAATAGACTTCTAAAAACTTAAAGGCGCTTTAAATTGAATATTCGATATAAAGTAAGTTAATTTATATTATATAATCTTTTTACTAAACCATTTTCATTTCTTTTCTACCTAAGTTTGAAAGTCAAATATCCCCACCAGTTATGAAAAGGATCATCCTCTGGTGGGGATAAACATCCAATGTTTGTTAAAAATAGTTTTTATTACAATTATAACTAGCCGTAGGCTTAATTATATATATGTATATATATATATATATATATATATATATATATATATATATATATATATATATATATATATATATATATATATACATAGATAAGTATATATACATATATATATATATATATATATATATATATATATATATATATATATATACATAGATAAGTATATATACATATATATATATATATATATATATATATATATATATATATATATATATATATATATATATATATATATATATATATATATATATATATTTATATATGTATGTATATATATATATATATATATATATATATATATATATATGTATATATATATATATATATATATATATATATATATATATATATAGATATATATATATATATATATATATATATTATATATACATAGATAAGTATATATACATATATATATATATATATATATATATATATATATATATATATATATATATATATATATATATATATATGTATATATATATATATATATATATATATATATATATATATATATATATATATATATATATATATATATATATATATATATATATATATATATATATATATATATGTATATATATATATATATATATATATATATATATATATATATATATATATATATATATATATATATATAAATAAAATATGCAACGCAAAATATATTTAAATAACAAAATTAGTAGATATTAAGCTCTTTTACAATTTTCATTTAATTTATTGGGGCATTTTGATTTTATTTAAATTAAGACTCTGCGAGGGAAAACTTTTGATCTTTTTTGTTTTGTTCATTGTGAAAGTTTGCGTTACAAAAGGCCTGCAGTAGGAGATGTATTTTGTGTGAAACCAAATAAAGTTTAAGACAAAAAAAATAATTTTGAAATTGAGGATAACAATGAGGATGACAGTGAAAAACTTAATAAATGTGAAGAGCTGGGCTATATCAAATTTGAAAACAGTTCAGTTTCAGTTTCAAAAAAAGGTAGCACAATAATAAGTTGTTTAAACCACCTGCTAAAAAGGATGGTATATTGCAGAAGGATGTAAAACCAGAATTTGGACATGAACTTAAACCTATGCAAGACAGGTTAGAACTCAAGATTTGATATGGTTGAACGCTTTGTCAAGTTAAGCAAATGTATTAAAATAGTTCTTATCCAAGCACAGTCTCCAATAACAACAGATTCAGAGCTGCTAATTCCTAAGGAATTAGTAATATTAGTCTGTAAAATTAGGAGCGGCAGCACTTTGCTACCAAAACTCAAATAGGAGAAAAAGGTTTTTGTTTTGTGATAACACTACTGATACCTCATTGATATCTTATGAATGATAACATTATTAATACCTTATCTTTATTAAATGTAACTACAAAAATAATAAGTGATAAAAATTAAAATAAAATATAATAGGTTTGTTGATATAAAATGATACAAAGAATTTATTTCACAAAATTAACTGTTATATATATTTTTTAAACTATTAAAATTTTTTTTGTGTAAAATAGTTTTTTCTATTTGTAATACAGCTATTGCTGCAATTATATATGAAGTTTCAAACAATGCTGTTTATATTGACAATGTGATATATTAAGTATATCACATTTACAGTCTTCATTGTCAACAAATTCTGTTACCCCTACAAAAACAATAATGAATTGATAACGTATGATTTTTCAAAAACAATTTTAAACTGGTCAAACATGATTTTACAAAAATAATAATAAATTGGTCAAACATGGTTTTCCTTTCCTGAATCCATGCTTTGAGTCTAATAATTTTTGATTCTTTACAAGATAATTGATAAAATGCTTATTAGGCTGTTACGGAAATGAAAAACATGAAAATATTCATAACCTAGTTCTGAAGTATACTAAAAGATCTTTTACTGTCTACTTTATTATTGTATATTTTTGGAATTTAATCAACTTTAATATTCAAATAAATTATCTAACAAAGAAAAGTTTTGGTTTTATTTAGAGAGTATATTATGATTTTTTGTTTTTAAAAAGAAATTATCAGTATTAAATGTAATATATATCACAAAGTATATAATACAACATAATATATTATATGAAAACATCATAATACAAAAAAATTTAGCAGTACAGTTTAGATAAGTAATAATAAGTAGTTATTAGAGATTAGCAGAGTTATATAAAATAACTAAGGCTTCATCTTTTTGTATAACACAGCTAATCTTTAATAATATCTAAAAATAGTAAAAAAACCTAAAAATCAAAACAAGTATAGTATAATACTAAGTATAGTATAATAATAAGGCTCAACAAGTATAGTATAATAATAAGGCAAGTATAGTATAATAATAAGGCTCAACAATATGCTTACCTATGTCTAAAATAAGTTTAGAACAACAATTTTTTTTTTACAAAACCTAAGCTTCTTTACAGTTACTAGCATTATGATTATATGTAAAAAATATTCAATGTTCTAGATCATAATGCTATATCCATTTAATAAAAGATCATAATGCTATATCCATTTAATAAAAGTATTTAATAAAATCTAGATCTATATTAATATTTAATAAAATATAAGATCTATATTATCTAGATCTATATTAATAAAATATAAGATCTATATTATCTAGATCTATATTAATATTTAATAAAATAATAAGATCTATATTAATATTTAATAAAATCTAAATCTATGCTATATCCATTTAATAAAAGTATTTTATAAAATCTAGATCATAATGCTATATCCATTTAATAAAAGTTTTAAACAAGAAATTGTAAGATATAATTGAGAAAATAAAAGTTGTAATTGAAAAAAGTTTATAATACAGATTATCAAAAAGGTGTTCTTAGTATTTTTTAAATTTGTTGAATTAGTTTACCTTGTAACTTTAAGTCGGATCCTAATTTGGCCAACATGACCATATGTTTCTGTTTTCAATAAATAATATGATAAATAAAAAGTGACAAAAAAGACTTTTATGGTTTTGTCGGTAACTACACCTTGTTCAATTAAATATAAATTTCCGCTGCAGACCCAATTGTATGTCTTATATTTGACACCTAAAGTTTGCTCAGCACATTCAAAAACTTTTCTTCTATCATTCGGTGAAGATAAAACATTATGTTTTCTTTCAACTTGTTCAGTTGTATGTATTTCATGTATACAAATTTGACAAGGTGGTTCTGGTTGTTCCAGAAGTGAATTTAAACAAATTTGGTGAAATAAATGCTTGCATGGATTCAATTTAACAACAGACTTTCTGTTTATAGTGTATTGTACAAAAAACACAACGAACTTTCAATTCCATCACTGTAGTACTGTAATGCTGACACATAAAAATGCTAAATTTGACATTATTAACTTATTAAAATGCATGTCCAAGAAGAACTTTTATAATGACCCTTAAGCTTACATTGTGAATTGTGCAACTACAACTAATGTATTCTCATTTACATAACTTTTGTTTTTCTAATAACATACTCTGATTTCTTATTTATATGTTGTTTTACTTAATTACATATCGTGACTTTTAAACTACATGTTGTATTTCTCAATTATATCTTACTTTTCTTAATTACTACATTCAAGTTTTAAAACACAGCTTCAAAAGGTGTAGTTCCTAAGGGATTGTCCATAAATTACATAACACTAAATTTATTTTAAAAACAGAACTAAACAGATCTTAAGCTCTTTTACAAGGCCATTTTCATTTAACTTAATGCTATTTGTATTTTGATTTTTGATTTAACTTAATGCTCGGCAAAGATAACCTTTTTTATTTTGATTTTGTAGTGAAATTTAGCTTTATGTAATTTAATCTAACCCAATGATAAATTGTATAAAGCATTACAAGCTCAGTTATTACACATCCATTCAATATATCAAACCAAAATTCTATTGCAACCAAAATATCAAGAGACAAATGGAAAAAGAATTTGATTCACTTTGAGAAAAGTAAAAGATTATGTAAAAGTAAATCTGGAGAATCATTAGGAACAATATGTAAAATGCCCAAAAATTAACAAATAATTAACTGATACACCAGCTTGGCACCAGACTGTATACACTTTTTCCATTTGTCTCTTGATATTTTAGTTGCAATAGAATTTTTGTTTGATATATTCAATTGATATGTAATAACTGAGCCGGTAATGCTTTATACAACTTATATATAAATGTGAAATATACAATTTATACAATTTATGTATAAATGTGAAAGGAATAATAAAAAAAATTTCAGATGAATGTTTAGAACTATGAGCTAATTTGAATTTTCCAACATTAGATAAAAGATTAGTGCCAAGAAAAATAGAAAAATTAATTAAAAAGAGACATATAGAAACCAAAAAACAGGTACTTATAGTTTTGATGGTTTATTACATATAACGAAAGAGAATAAACTTTGGTTACATTCTGAAGATTAAAGTCTTTACTAGAAAGCAATTAGAGACATCTTGTAGAGTTGGATATACTAGAATGAATCTTGATGATCCTAAAAAAAACATTCCATTGATACCATCAACTTCAATTCGGAAAGAATACAGAGAGGAACACGAAATTAGTAGAGTCAGTAAGTGACAATGGCAGTGATCATGAACCTTCAACAAATAATAATTTTAATAAACAAAAAGTTAAACAGAGGAAAGTGGAGGCTGTTAAACTAGTTTGTCAAACAAAGCTAAGTACACGAAAAGCTGCCAGAGTGTTTCAACAACTTCAGATGGCTGGTGTCAATCTTTCTGCACCAACTCAACCAGCATTCTATATGGCAGCCATCAGAGAAAGTAAAAAGTTACAAGATAAATTGAGAAAAGAATTTAAGGTTGAGAACTAGTGT